AACACCAGGTCCGATAGGAAAAAACAACTTTTTCGGTCACTTCAACCGCCCAGTCGCGAGGCCCGCGAATGGACGAATTGGCCTCTTGCTCCAGGCCGAGTCTTTCTTGAATCTCCTGAGAGGGATCACGTGGGAAGCCGATCCAAATGTGTGCGCTTGAGGCTATTCTGGAGCTGGCTTGCAAAAAAACAAACAAAACAACCCTTTTGGGGGGGGGGGGGGGAGGGTCACCCATTGATATTTTTGGAAAAACGGCTATACATGACTACCTTTGGCGGTTTGCCTATGGGAAGCTATCAAAAGAAACATGGCCGCACTGCCTGCGGAGTGCTGAAGCTACTGAAGTTCTAGGTGTCGTGAGACAACTCCCATAGGAAGCCTTGGGGAAAAACAAAAAACACAAAAACAAAACCACGACACTGAAGTTCTGAGAAATGCCCTCCACGTCTCAACGTCGCTCAGACATTCTTTCCAGCTGATGTTGCGAATGGGGAAACATGCACACGAATGCAAACACATATAGATTTGATTGGATAGATTGGATTGGATTTGATGGGATTGGATGGATAGATAGATGGATGGATGGATAGATAGATGGATACATCGATAGAAACATGGGAATACTAAAAACATAGAAATGTAGAAATATAGAAAGAAAGAAAGAAAGAAAGAAAGAAAGAAAGAAAGAAAGAAATAAGGAAAGAAGGAATGTAGATTAGATTAGAATAGAATAAATTAGATTAGACTAGGTAGCTGGATAAATGCCAAAATAGCAGGCTGGATAGCTAGATAGCTTGCAAGCAGCTGCATAGCTAGATAGGAAAGAAACAAAGAAAGACAAAGAAAAAACAAAACAATAGATACATAGAAAACACAATAGAAATCAAAAGAGCAAGAAACCCCAAACGCGCGCCGAAGGCTGCGCCCTGAACAAAAAGAGGTGGATTGACCGTGGTTAATCCCTCAGCGGTTCAGGGGGTTGTCTCTACACTCTAGTTCCGCACTCAGCGCCCTTTTTCAGTGAGCGCTTGAGCCAAACGGCGTTTGCCGTTCGACAAGTCTGTAATGACATGCAACCCTCAACCTAAACCAAAGTGGCCTCATGCAAACCTCACATCAGTGACCACACAACTAGGCAAGTTACCATGCCTTTGGGGGCTAAGGGGTCGTTATTTCTTGACTCCCCCCTCGCCGTGTGCACTAAGGCAGGGTAAGCTTTTGCTTTGGAGCGCGATACGCTGCTCCCGGTCATCAAGGCTTTACAAGGATGAAGGATATTTTGGCACTCTTAGTACTCACAGCACTACTTTCGGAATGACTTTCTACTTTTTGATGTTGAATCGAGTATCTTCTAGCTCTTCTGGGAGGTCTGTGCGCATCCCCAGGAGCCTCAAGGCGTGATCCCACTTATGTGGGGGCAAAGCCTTGGTAAAGATATCGGCTGCTTGGAAATCGGTCTTCACATACTCAAGCTCTACTCCAGTGCCTTCCTGTAACTGTTCTGCAAGGGATGCTAGGTTAACCCTATGTGTCCTAGAAATTGCACTGGGCGACCCAATAGGCGATCCCACAGACTAAGTGTTGGGAGTCCCTCCTGATACAAACAAAATGCTAACGACACAATTTCTGCTTCTGTAGTGGAACGCGACACAGAAGTCTGGCGCTTGCTAATCCATGCTAATGGAAAGTGGGAGTTCGGGCCTTTCAGGGCGAGAAACCCCCCTGACGTAGACTTAGCCCCTTCCTCTCCTGCAAAGTCAGCGTCGACGTAGAGCGCAAGATGCAGCTCTCTGGGATCGTCTTGAACTGTGCCAACCAACCTGTGCGTTGTGGTCGTGTTAATGTAAGCTATTAGCCTAGCCAACTGCCTATCATTATTACGCGACCATTTTTGAACGCACGTTGCAAGATCCCCGATGGGCTTGATTATGTCTGGACGTGCAAGACGTCCCAACCACAAGGCCTTCATCAAGATTTTACAAGCGGCTGAGCTCAATTCACCTGCTTCGGCATCATCTTGTGTGGGCAATGACCCTTCTGGACAGAATGGGGTCAATGCCTTGCGGAGTTTACTAATCGGCTGACCTGAAATGGAGACATACAAATCTACAGTTTGTTTGGCGTAGTCAACCATATCAAAAGCCATTGCGTTGGACAGCGCGCCAAAGGCTGCGCTCTCGGCTGGATTAGGCTCGCACTTCGGGGCGTTAATGATGACATGATTCCTTCCCAAAACACGATATATCGGTTCTGGGGGTTCAATATCAACACATGACATGCTTTTCCCAAAAGGGATGGGATCATGCTGCTCTGCCGGCCCTGAAAGTGTTAGATCATCCACATAAGTGGATAGCATTAAGCCGGTTGAGGGGAAGTAAAAGTTTCCTGGAAATTCTTGGATCTCCTCTCCGGTCTGCTCCTTCAAGATCTTCTTGAAGTGCTGCTCCCATAGCCCCCCCGCGTCGGGGTGACCGTAGAGTGCTTTTACTAGAAGGACTACCGGTTTTATAAACTTTTCTTTCCACCACTTCGGACGAAGTTCCGGCCTGGATATATGCCTTTACGGCGTCTGCCGCCGTGGTTTTGTGACCTGGCAGTGAGCCGTAGGCAAGGCAGTTGTTCAAACCCTGAACGGACGTAGGGTTGGCGCCGAGTTCTTGATAAACGGCCGCCGCCCCATATTCGTCCCGCGCACAGTCCCCTCGGTATACTATACGCCCCTTCACTTTCTGTAGATGCTTTGCTAGCTCAAAGAATTTGATGGAGGCGATAGTCATTAGTTGCCCGAAGTGGACTTTAGTGTGCGTCCGTCGCGCTTCAGCAGCGACCTCTCCTTGTCTCTCACGGTGCTGAGATCCCAGATTCCCGCATTACTTAAGCCGTCTGCTTCTTCCTTTACGGCCTGCAATGCCTCGGACGAGGCAAGCATCTCTGAACGTGAAAGAAGTTTTGTGACCATGGCGGCTATGTCGGAGACGTCTCCTGCTTTGGAATTCCCTGAATTTCCCTAACGAGATTATCCAAGTCAAAGAGTTCTTCAAAGAATCTGCGGGATGTTAGATTTGATTCAACCACTGACGCGAGAGCCCCACCCAACACCCGAAAGTGCGGAGGTATGCTTCAAGGACTGCTCCTTTTCCCGATGCTCCTCTTGCACGATGATAGCCTGGACTGGCATTGCAGGCGCGCATGGTGTTGCGACATGCGGATATAACGCACTAGCGATTATCTTACACATTTCTTGTGGATAAAAGGCGGTGCGTGCAGTGTTGCTACCTGCGGCCTGTGCATGCTTGAAGGAGTGTTGGTGGGGGCATGTCCTATTCTGGAACCCATCATGAAGTTCCTTGGATGTGGTCATGAGACGCCACGGCTTCTTGATGGGGGTTCCTTCCTTGTCAGTTAGACCTACTGCACACCCGTGGAAAGTCACTGAGTGGGAGCGAGACGCATGCTTCTCGAAGAATGCCTTTACGTCGGGGCGCTCCCATCCCTCGCAGTCGCGAGGCCACTCGAAAGTGACGTGACCCTCTTGTTCTATCACTACTTCGGCGTGCTTTGTGAACCTTGCGAACAACGCCTCCGATCTTTTAACCTGTGCACGGAGATACTGCTTGTATTTGTTGCCATACTTATGGACATTTAGCCTTTGCCATGGCGACCCGGAGGTGCACGGAATGGCTGCCCACATGTTAGGCTTGCTACAAGACTGCAACTGAGCGGTCACATCCGCTTCATTGGTTTCAAGATCGATGCGTTCTTTAGCCAGTCTCACGTGGGGAATGCCTAATGCTTGATGCACTGCTCCCATGGTGGAGTCACTTGAACATGCATACTCGAACATTACAGGCATAGAATTTCCCCGCGCGATACGCTTGCGGGCCCTCTTATTCCCTACGGAAAACTTTTTGCATGGCTCCCTCTTGGAACATGGCATGCCGAACACAGGCAGAGTCCGAGTCTCCCTCTTGGTGAAGGAGTCGGCTACGTGGCACGTGAGTGACGTGGAGGTTGCAGTGGTTGTTGTCACCGCCGCGCCAGTTGTGGCTGCAGGCGGCGTGGTTGGAGGAATCCCCCCTGGCCGAGACGGAGCTGGCTTGCCGCGAAGAGCATCATCATGTTCTTCGGATGCCCTCAGTGCTTTCTCGAGCTCATCGGGATCAGATAGATCTGCCTTTTCAAGGCGGGAAAGCTCAAGTGCCTTTTTAAGGTCGGCATCGTCTTCTTCGAGACGTGCCTCCTTGTCTGCATGAACTGGGTCAATCGCTTCGGAGGGGCGAAGTGACCGCTCTACCTCGACGGCAGCCGAGCGCTTGGAGCGCTCCTCGGCTTTCTCTGTATCGACAAGCCTTGCGAAGCGGCGTCGACATTCGGGGGTATGGTACCGGGTGCGCCCGGTACAACCTCGACAACCTGGTGTTTCACGGAACCGAATTATCCGATCCACAGTGATGTACACGCCTCGCGGCGTGCCTGGAGCGGGAGTCGGCGGTGCAGCTACTTCGCTAAACGGAACCTCTTTAAGAGCGACTTCTGGGAGCTCACTCTCGGCTTCCCCCGTCCGCAGCGCCTTGTGGGCTGCTGCCGCAACGGGGAAGCAAGGCTCACCTTCTTCAACGAAGAGTTCTGCTTCCGGGACATCATGCACTACAATCGCTCGACGAGTCCTAAATTCTTGATAATCTAGGACCTTGACCACATGGCGACACCGAAGGCCTGCGTCAACCCTCCAGCCCAAAAACAAAGCAGGTGCCAAGTTGGGTTCTAGAGTGCGCTTATTAATGCCCTTTTTACGGTAATAAACAAGCTGACCAAAGCAATGCCTAATGCCATCGAACTTCGACTTTGTCAAGGCTTCCCATTGGGTCTTAGCCTTGTCGAATGTTGCAGGTCTGTCGAATGACATGGAGAGGCACGCAAAGGGGTAGGAGTGAGTGTGTAGATCGTATGGCAACCCACTCTGGAGGTGGATGGATCTGCAACATTCCTTTTCTTCCCTAATGTCCCTTTCCAACTCGGCATTATGGGGCCATCGGTTCGGCAGCGAGGTTTCGGGTGTTAATCCGACCTCATGAGCTGCCGCTTCAAGCTCTCCAGCTTCATCCATTTTGACCA